AATTATTATTACGCAAGATTTTTCTAATTTTAACGGACCTTACTCGAAGTAAGGACATACCCGAGTCGAAATTAGATCAGCATTCATAGTTTATCATCTGAAAAATAGCTTGAGATTTGATTATTCGTTAAACTAATTTCACGTAACATGAGTTCTACTTTTTTTTCTCGTAAAATATGAATGTCTATTCAAGCAAGGTTGCTGAGGCAAGCTAAGGTTTATGAATACAAATTTTTAATTATGTTCTCAATGAAAAATTGCACATAATTTTAAAAAACTATGAATAATGATCTTAGAATCTGATATAAATTTTACAAGTGTTGATTTTTATTCGTCTAATAATGCTCAGATTGCTGTTTTCGTTTAGAATCTGCTAGAATGTCCGTTTCTCATTCTTGTTTATCTTTCTTATTGTACCGAATCAGAATTAAAATCTCTATTAGTGAAACAGCATTATTAGACATAACCGTTGTCTTTTTGCAGCTTCAGCTCTTTTAAGAGCTACAATTCTCATCATTCTCATTAGAAAAAAGAAAAGAAAAAAAAAGAGAAGAAAAAAGGAAAAAAGAACTTTAAGAATGATGAGAATAAAAAGTGTTTTTCATCCCCCATTTCCTCTAATTCTTATATGATTATTTAATCCTTATATATTTATCTCACGCGCAGTTCAAAGGCAGTTCTATTTACGTTTTTATCTTTGTTCTCTTTCTTGCGCTGTTAAGTGAATATATAATCAAAATCAACAAAAATTGCTCATTTAAATTAAGAATATAAGGATTAAGTACATATACATTATCGAAATAAACGAGTATTAAATAACTGCGGAATACGTCGCTGTTGAAGACTCATCATGGGCGAGACTGCGAGAGTAGCCAGATGTAACGTTCAGGTAGGACAAAGCTTGTTCACTATTGCGCACCTAGATATTCTACATTGATTTTTCAAATTGGATGCAATTTGCAGGATCAATGTAGAATTAATATTTCGACTCGGGAAAGATTCGGGAATGAGAACGAATTGTCATTGCACTTGGACAATCTTCTAACACTGATTTCTGATATTGATCGATATTCGATTTTCGGTACTGATTTACTCTTTCATTCCTCTACAAGAAAAAAAAATTGATACGACTCGTCCATTTAACCGCGTTAATTTGATGAATAAATTAAATATTGATCGGTCTTCAATTTTCGGTACTAATTTATTCTCTCTTTTCTTTTATAAGACAAGAAAAATTGATATGAATCATTCGTTTATTCGAGTTAATTTGTTAAATAAGATTAGAGGGGTAAGTACCTGAAAAATGAGAACAAATTGTCATTGCACTTGGACAATTTTTTGACACTGATTTATGGTATTAATCGACATTCGATTTTCGGTACTGATTTACTCTTTCATTTCTCTATAAGAAAAAAAAATTCATACGAATCGTTCATTTATCCGCGTTAATTTGATGAATAAATTCAATATTGATCGGTCTTCAATTTTCGATACTGACTGATTCTCAATTCAATCAATACAATTTTCTAACGCTGATTTATAGTATTAATCAATATCCTGTTTTCGATTTAGTCTTTGATTTCTCTATAAAAGAAAAAAAGATTGATATAAATTGTTCATTTATCCGCGTTAATTTGATGAAAAAATTAGATATTGAACGGTCTTCGATTTTTGGTACTGATTTATTTTCTCATTGTTTTACAAGACAAAAAAATTGATACGAATCGTTCGTTTATCCGAGTTAATTTGTTGAATGAGATAAAGGGGTAAGTACCTGAAAAATGAGAACAAATTGTCATTGCACTTGGACAATTTTTTGACACTGATTTATGGTATTAATCGACATTCGATTTTCGGTACTGATTTACTCTTTCATTTTTCTATAAGAAAAAAAAATTCATACGAATTGTTCATTTATCCGCGTTATTTTGATGAATAAATTAAATATTGGTCTTCAATTTTCGGTATTGATTTATTCTCTTATTTCTTTATAAGACAAGAAAAATTGATACGAATCATCCGTTTATTCGAGTTAATTTTTTGACTAATTAGAGGGATAAATACCTGAAAAATGAGAACACATTGTCATTGTACTTAGACAATTTTCTGATTTACGGTATTGATCGATATTCGATTTTCGGTACTGATTTACTCTTTCATTTCTGTATAAGAAAAAAAAATTCACACGTATCGTTCATTTATCCGCATTAATTTGATGAATAAATTAAATATTAATCGGTCTTCAATTTTCGGTACTGACTGATTCTCTCATTTCTTTATAATTTCTTTATAATAGAATAAAAATTGATACGAATCATTCTTTTATCCGACTTAATTTGTTGAGTAAATTAGTGGGGTAAGTACCTGCAAGATGAAAACAACTTGTCATTGCACTTAGACAATTTTCTAACGCTGATTTATAGTATTAATCAATATCCGGTTTTCGGTACTGATTTTATCTTTGATTTCTCTATAAAAGAAAAAAAGATTGATACAAATCGTTTGTTTATCCGCGTTAATTTGATGAAAAAATTAGGTATTGAACGGTCTTCGCCTTTCGGTACTGATTTATTTTCTCATTTTTTTATAAAACAAGAAAAATTGATACGAATCGTTCGTTTGTCTGAGTTAATTTGTTGAATAAGATTAGAGGGGTATGTACCTGAAAAATAAGAACAAATTGTCATTGCACGTGTGCAATTTTTTGACACTGATTTATGGTATTAATCGATATTCGATTTTCGGTACTGATTTACTCTTTCATTTCTCTATAAGAAAACAGAAAATTAATACGAATCGTCCATTAATCCGTGTTAATTTGATGAATAAATTAGATATTGATCGGCCTTCGATTTTCGGTACTGATTTATTCTCTCATTTCTTTATAAAAGAAGAAAAATTCGTACGAATCGTTCGTTTAACCGAGTTAGTTCGTTGTGTAAATTACTGCGGTAACTACCTGAAAAATGAGAACAAATTGTCATTGGACAATTTTCTGATACTGATTTATGGCATTAATCGGTATTCGATTTTCGATACTGATTTACTCTTTCATTGCCCTATAAGAAAAGGGAAAATTGATACGAATCGTTCATTTCCGCGTTAATTTTTTTTTTTATTATATGTAAGTGGTCCATGGGACAATTAAATATTCGAATACATGTTGCCGTGTCAAAGTCTCCTCTATAATAAACGATTTGACATGTCTGGAGACGCATGATGTATCGTCGCCCGCATCCCATTCCCTTCGTCCTGCTTCCCTGTATAAAATGTCGAATTGAAACGTATTAAAAAGTATTGACATTTTGAATATGTCTGAATTCTGAATCTTTTTGATTCGAAGAAAAGGATTGAAAAGTATTAGTTTCCATTAAATTTTACTGCGCTAAATGCGAGACAATCTCTTTCGCCCGGGTACCTCACCAGGGAAATTTCTCTGGTACGCTAAATCCCGTAAGGCCATCAGTCTTTGTAGTATATCTCGTCGGTGCATAAGGTTTATATTACCTGTACATACATATTTTAAAACATTTTCTTTGGATATTATATCAAACGGATTTTGCATGTCACGTAATATCCTTCGGACTACACGGACATTATTATTTTGATCATTTTGATTTCTTTGGTATTAATTGAATTATCCAGAACGCGCAACTGCCATGTTGAACGATTCAATTGTCGTGTGAAATGTTTCGATTTTCACAAATTCATATAAAATTTTTCATTTTTCACTGATTCACAAAAGTCTTTCACTTTTTATTAGTTCACGCTAGGGAAAAGATTCATGATCGCTGCCCCGAACAGCTGCAACGGTTTTCGAGTCATCTATGTCGGCGCGCTTTTACTCCTCAGATTTCTGTCATTAATAACTCGATAATTATTGCGAATCTCGCAAAATGGTATGGGACTTTTATGTTTGTCTGAACCCAATCTACCCTCACACTTCGGGTTGGCTAATCACCAAACACTTCGTATGATCTTCATGATATTAATCATACACAATGTCAATTCTTTTTTTTTTGCACATGTTAACATGTTAATTCATGTTATAAACGCGTAACAATGTGCGAGACCGTACTTGTCAAGTACGCTATTATGGTTATAGCACGGACTGCCACCACATACAGGTTTTACCGCCGAAACCTGAAAGTGGATGTAGCATCGTAGTTCGCCTCTCGAAATGGATGTAGATGGCGCCCTTTCCCAGTGCGGAAATCGGTGTCGTCGAAAACACCGTGTTGGCCGCTCTCACGTTCCTCTCTGTATATAGTATCACGTATACCAACACAGATTCTCTGCTTCCAAAGTGATGGCCGTGAAAGGATCTAACTTTGTTCCGTTTCTCTATTTACAGACCTTACTGTGGCAACGCTTCTTTAACCCTTTAACTGCTGAGATATTAAATGACCAGTATGACCCTCTTTGCTGAGTTATTTTTACAATTATAAAATATTTTATAATGATAAGAGATGGCACTATATGTCCGCTCAATTCAAATGCTTTTTACAAACTAAATTAAATGGGTATTACACATTGAAAGTCCAAATTGAGTAAATTCGATCGTAGCAGTTAAAGGATTAATCACCTATGTCGGCGCGTCCATTCTTCAGATTTCTGTCATTAATAACTCGATAATTATTATGAATATCGCAGAACGGTATAGGACTTTTATATTTATCTTAACTCGCTCTATGTCTCCACGAGCTTTGTAACAATTGTTATGAGACATCCTGTATATGTGTTGAATAAAATTGATTTTATAATGTAATTATTTAACTAAATTGAAAACGTAAGGATTCTATATTAACGTAAAATTTTTGTAGATAAGTTCTCATTTACATATTTTATGAAATTTTGATATTGATAAAGATACAACATAATTTTATATTAATATTATATATCGTTTACAAATATCGTTTAATGATATTTATTTATAAAAAGATATCAAAAAAATAAAAAGAATTATCTAAATTAAATTAATTAGAAAGAAACATTCATGATCATTAAAAATAAAATTTTATACTAAATATCTGTAAATTTAGAAACTTTTATAAATGTGTTGAAACAGTGTATCATTGATTTCTGTTAAATTAATTGCTTTGCAAGCAGCATCTACTGCTTCGGTCATTGTTGGTGTACCGCAACTGAAAACACCAATCTTATTTGTCTGAAATAAAACAATTATTTCAGATGCTTTGTATCAAATCATATAAATTTGCTGATATATATAAATATTACTAATTCAACAACAATATGCAGAATGATAGAAATTAATATAAGTATAATCCAATAAATATATGAGTAGTATATAAAGATATAATATATACTTACAGAAGGATGTAATTTCTGTATAGATAGGAAGAATTGAGAAAATTTTGGGCGCCCAAAATGTGTGACTGCTTTCAAACCAGTAAACAAGGATTTACTTGAAATTTTTTGAAAATGACGTTCACAAATGTACTGAAAATAATATTTTATCATAACTGTCTAAAAAAATTTTTCAAATTAGCAACAATTACAATCAAATGTCTTACCAAAAGTATCGTTCGTAGATCAAATTTTTGATAAAATTGAGTAATAAAGATATGAATCGATATTATATTTTTGGCATCTGTTTTTTCAAGATCCCTCAATATGTCAACCATCCATTCAAATTGCTTTTGAGTCCTTGTAACCCAAAGAAAATATACCTACAAATGGGATAACTATATAAATTTATTTATTTTTATATATTATAATATTACAGTAATATTATTACCTTCTTACAACTGAAGTTCACATTATGGTTTGATCTAAAAACTATATCCTTGAGTATTGAGGCGAAAGGTGTAACACCTATACCACCACCAACCATGATTGCTACTTCATATTTATCCCAGTCTTGATGACCTTCTCCATATGGGCCATCTATGTGAATCTGTCAATAAGTACATATGAAAATACATAATGTTCATATACAGAAATATGAAAATTTTATTTCATTATTAAATGTGGCAAAGTTTGAATAGATATATAAGTGTATATAATTTTTCATCATATAATATGAAGGCCTACCACTGGCAAATTCTCATTGGACATGGTACATTGCTCTAATTTATCTCTGATATTTGTAGTCCATGGTCCAACTGCTCTTACATGTATACTTAAACTAGTCTCATGCGGTGCGGAAGATAAAGTGAACGGATGGTATTCATTTGTTTGTAATGCTGGGCACGCTATTCTAATCCACTGGCCAGATTTATATTGGAAATTTAAAGGCTTTGGAAATATTAAACATGTTACACCTACAAAAGACATACCAATATAATGTATGAATAAGCAGAAATAGCGAAATATTAATTTTATTCGAGAAAAAGTACCTGATGGCAAAATATCCGCTTTAAGTATTGGTATTTCTATTCTCGTTCTAGTCACTGTTACAACCTTATCCAAAATAAATAGGATAATCGGTCCCAAAAAGAAATAGTGAAAATATGGTTCCTATTGTATTGAATTAAGTAATTCTACGTAAGTTATGTTATCATGAAAACAATTATAATAAAATTAATTTCTTGTACTGCAACAATTAATTACTTGTACTAATCTTCCGCTTCCGTGTAACACCATGAGTATGTAGAAAACTGGATACAGGGAGTGCACAAAAGAGAACCAATTGTAAAATGTTTTGCGCACCATCGACAACGAACATATAAATATCAATCCAGTCACAAAGGTTAAAAATACTCCTGTTATACCTGTCATTGTACCCCAACACCAGTAATGAAATTTGGGCAATTCATGCGTCCTATATAGATGCCGATGATTATATATAATGATATGTATCGTATATAAACGCAAATAATTTGTATGAATAATTGGAATATTTATAGAAAAGTACTTACGCGTGGAAATAATTCCGGAACAGACATAGCAGATCGTCGGCAGTCTGCGTGGATATGTGGTAAAAGTTGAAGCCGTGTCCAATAATATGTAATACTAAAAGATTCTTAAATAAAATACTTTCTTTTTCTCTTTTGAATATATATAAAATCGACTATAGTATAATACCATGGAAATTTTTACATAAAAGAAACGTGTTGTTTTATACACCATTAAATTTTTTTAAGTCAATATAAGAGATTTCTATATCTTCTCTCACCGGTAAAAGCCAGCGCCCAACAAGCGATGTATTTATGCATCTCGATCGCAGAATCGAATGGAATGTAAAACTGCAGAACTGTAGTCCTCAGGATCGTGATGGTATTATGGCACATCATGAATAACAGTGTAGAATAAGTAAACATCATTGCCGACGCCGCACCTCTAGTTATGGTCAGACCGTAGCCCAATATTCGTCTCAGACCGGAATGTTCTCGTTCTATCGAATAATCTGTAGAATATTCACGAAAAAATATTCGCGTGTAATATCCGCGACGAAACTACTGCAACTGGTACTGCAAAAGAATATTCGAAGTACATACAATACACTCGTTCGGCGAATATTCCAAGGAGCAACAGAGTGTACAAACACGTCCAGTATATTTGCAATCTTTTGTTAGCGAGGTACTTCATTATAGGATACCAATAATCGTCCGAGTACTTCTTCACTTCCTCAACGATCTTCTCATCCCTGTCGATGACCTCACTATTGTCTCTTTTCTCCGTTATATCTTGTTCGTTCTCGACTTTGCCTTCAACTCTTGATTGCAATTCACTGGGATCGGCATATAAACTCTCCACCGTTTTCTGTACCTCACCGATGAATGTTGATCTAACTGTTTTCACGCCCGCGTGAAGTTTCCTGTTCCTCCCGTCTGCTTGCACATTGAATTCCAGCTCGGCATAATTAAACTGATCGTTAAAATCGCTCAGAATTTGCTGAAAGTCCTGCAGATTTATAGTTTCTTTGTTCGCCAAGTTGGCGTGGTACATCATAGACTGCACTAGAGACTCTAATTCGTCGTCCGTTACGTCAGCATTGACTGTCTCCATAAACGATCTATAGATTCGATAATAATACATGCCAAAATATGCGCCATGTATCCTACTCGTATCATATAGATATATGGATCAAAATATACCTTAACATATTTGAAAATTCCTCCCTCTTCAATCTTCCTTTACCGTTGATGTCATACATATCGAACATTAACTTTATCTTCTCTTCGGCGGAGCCCTTTAAAAATATCACCAGCATATCAACGAACTCCCGGAATGATATAAAGCCGCTTTTGTCTTTATCCACTAAATTAAATATCTGCAAATATACAATCTTTTTCGAATAACATATTCGTGTCATCTACACTGCAAACCCGAGTGTGTTATTTTGACACGTATAAGCTGAAGCTTTCTTCACGCGTTTCTTGTCGTCTGAAATCACGTTATTTGATGCATTTCGATATCACTTGACGCGTTTAAACGCGTTAAACAACGTGATTTAAGACGACAAGATACGCGTAAAGGAAGCTTCAGCTCATATGCGTCAAAATAACACACTCGGGTTTGCAGTGTACTCGTATCACTTATCAGACTTCAGGCAAATGTGTCACCTTCTTTACGAACTCAGAGTCCGGCCTCATGCTCAAGGCTTCCGCAAATTCTATGATAGTTAATTCCGTATAAATTACTTCTTTCGCTACTGTCGAGGCTATTTGTAATATTTCCTCCTTCGTATGTGCGATGTGGAACGCCTGAAAATATTATTATACATATACACTTGTACTTATCCTTCAGCAATTTTGTATGTTATACCAAAGTGAATCCTACATTTGAGAAAACAAGCCTTCTCAAGTAAATAGAAAAGAAAATACCTGTGCGAATACAACACGGAAGAACATCTCTAATTTCTTTTGACGGTGCTTCTTAGTTATTGCTTGCTTGAGCATCATCGCGAGCGTAACATTTGTCATTTGCACTGAGCATACATTTCCGACTGCTGCAATTCCTGACATAAATTTATCGAATGCTTTTATAAATGTGCTTCTTACATATTCCGAATCAAATTTCAGCACTAAATCGTAACTGTGATGTACGCGAATCAACATGTAATGGTTATCGGTTGAGCAGTAAATCTAAAGGAAAAATGATATATTTTATATATTTGTTACGGAGAATATGTTGTTAATGAGTAATATTTGATGCACAATAAACAAATGTACCATAACATTGCTATTAGATGGAAATTCCATGGCGCGTATCAAATGTCCCAATTGATTCTTTACTTCTAATTGTTGAGTTCTGATATTTGGTGTTACTAAAACATTTCTCAAAGAGGATTTCGGCTCTTGCCATTCCTTAGCTATTTAAATACAAAGAATTATTAATAATATATAAGCGGTGTTATAGGCGATAGTATATATTATGTACATCACATATATTATGTGATGTATGTATATACCTGGAAATTTACCCATAAATATGCTATCTACATTATCAATATGTTCCATTTTTCTACCATTTTCTGGTTTCAGTCCTTTCTCCTTGAACTGTATCTTATAAGAGATCGCCGCAATAAGACCTGCCTCAAAATAATCAATCAAATAATATAAAGTTTACACAATCACAATGTATTAATAGTGATATAGTTGATAAAGTTTACCGCAGAAAAATGTTGTTACGCTTAAAAATGTAAGAATAAAAGACGCGCTGCTATTGGAAAAGAAATCGTAAGTTCCAGGCTCGGTACACTTCTCGATATTATTTTCATTTATTTGTTCAGCGTGAAAGCACGGGCCAGTAGTACATGCGCCTTTTTTGATAACATTATTTTTCTTACAGTTTGGATGCATCTCCTCCTCTGAAACGGTATAATATATATTTCGTAATATCTTCAGTTATCGTCAAGCGAGTATAAATCTCCATGCTTCTACTGATACCTTTTGTAGGTACTCTAAAGGGATTCCTTGGGATATCATTCCAGTCCATTTCAGTGATACACATTAACAAATCATAGAATGATAATTCGTCTATCCGTATAACTTCTTTTCCAGTAAAAAGTCTACAAACGAAGCCGTGTCAGTTAGTTGTCGAGTAAATATATACCAAAACATGATACGTAGAAGATGCAAATCTCTGTGCAGTGCAGAGTTGGTAAAAACATTAAAACAAAAAAACAAAACATTATGTTTTTTGTTTAAAACTTTCTCATGTTTTAAATATCTTAAAGAGATGCAAAAAACACGTTTTAAACAATTTAAACACATATACATTTGATTTTTAGAATAGATTGAACACTTGACCTTTGATACAATTTGAAATATAGTCAGTGGTTTAGTAAGAAAACTGTATTTCTGGGAACTTATAAAAGATAATTTATTTTATTGTATACGTACTCGTTGTTTAGATTTTTGTACCAAAATCTATCGCCATCACGTATTCTCTGAAACTGATCGCGGATGATTTCTCGGAATAATTCACCAGGTGTATCACCGGTCTCTAGTATTCCCCCTACCCAGATATCCACGTCATCAAACGAGTTATATAGCTTGAGGAACTCATTTTTAATCTTGAATAAAATGCAAACAATATATCTTTTATAATGTCTTTGTTATGACAGATTAAAGGTTCCTGTGCATTATACAACATACCTCTGGTGACACATGAACAAAATGGGATACATTTTTAACCTCATGTAGACCGTACGCACGACGAGCGCTATTGAAATCCGGTACGCCATGGTCCCGTCCTCGTTGAATGTTAAGCGCCATTAAATCCCTTCTGGAAAATTCCAATGGACCGAACAAACTGCCTCGTAGATCTTCAACGATTTTGTGATCTTCTTCTTCGCATAATTGAATAGCCATTCCCATTAATAATTTATCCACATCGACACTGATCATTTCCGTGAAATTGGCAAAAAGAGAATTCTAAATGACAATTTATCATACATTAAGTGCTTGTCAATATATTTTAAATGTCAATATAATCGCCAAGATACCTGCGACATCCAGTAATTGTTGCATGTTCTGATTGGAAATCGCTCCAGGGAACAATTGTTTCTTCCATAATTACGAAGGTATACACCTGTATGTTTGTTAGTATTATTATGATTACTGCTATTATTGATTCACATATACAATGCTAGCAAAAAGTATCGCAACGGTTAAAAATCTTGGAAAATATTGATTTCTGGGAAAAATGTTTCAAGCAATAGGAATAGGGCTTAAAAAAATCTATTAGGTGATGATATCTATCTGACCTTGGTATGACCTTGAAAAGCTCGGTCATGGTCAACATAAAAATCTTAAACGGAAATCCCTATTTTTTATTACACTGTTACAAGCACCCTGATTTTTTTTAATTTACTGACTTTTGGAGATTTTAAAATTATCAAATTAACAAAAATCATGGCACTATTGTAACGATATATTCTTAAGACCAAATAGAGCAAAAAAGTTTAGTACCATTTTTTTTTCCGACAAACAGTTAGCGAGGTATCATAAGTTAAGTATTGAAAAAGTTATCAAGTTTTCCTTAAATATTTCAAAAAATATTAAGCAAATAAAAAAATGTTTTAGACAAAAGTTGTTCAAATTAATTGGTAGTAAAAGACGGTGCAATAAAAAATAAGGGTTTCCGTTTAAGATTTTTATGTTGACCATGACCATGACGAGTTTTTCAAAGTCATAGTCAAAGCCAAAGTCAGATATATATCATTATCTAATAGATTTTTTTAAGCTCTACTCCTTTTGTTTGAAACATTTTTCCAAGAAAATTTTTCCAAGAAAATTTTTCCAAGAAATCAATATTTTTCAAGATTTTCAAGTTGCAGAACTTTTTATCAGCATTGTATAATTAATACAATACCGATTATTACGCAATGTATCAAGTTTTTACATCTTCTTATACAGAGTGTTTCAGAAATGGGTGACCAAACTTTAAAAGCATATTCTATTTACTGTAAGAATAAAAAAGTTATAGAGCGCATATAAACATGGATCCAGAAATGCTTCTTTTCCGAGTTATAAACGATTTTTATTTATAACAGACTCTCGTCAAAGAACATTTCATTAAAGAATTTCTGGATAATAATTTTCTTCCGCATCAATGCATAACTGGTTTCGACGTCTCATGGACTGTCGAAGACATTTAAAAATTCCTGGATTTTATATTTTGTCACACAAAACGATACGATTTCGGAGTACTCTCTCAGTAGCAACAAGTTTCTGGACTCATATTTATATGGTCTTTTTCATTCTTATTGTAAATGGAATATACTCTTAAAGCTTGGCCATTTATGTCTGAAACATCTTATATGTTATATATCATCGTATATATTTTATATTATCTTATAATCGAACAAACATAAAGTTGCAGATTATAGAAAAAAAGAAGATATACGAATAGAAGCAAGTAGACCATGAAATAGAAAATCAATATCGCATTACATAAAATGATTTTGTTCCCTTGACGTCGATATATTTATATTTATATTCGAAATAACGCGCTAATAATCAGGTGTCACATGTGTTGTTTACCTGGTGGAACTAAAGTGTGCCCGAAACGGAAAGCAGCTGATTGGAAGAATTGATCTATCTGCGGGTCGATATTGGGGTTATAACCTTTTGACAAGAAAAAAGTCAAACGTAAATTGTATGCAAGTTACAAAGATTTGAATGACAAGTTCTTCAGAATATTGCATGCGATAATCGCACTCTATCTGTTTCTCACCAATATAATTAGAAAGTTCCGTCCCTAACCACGAAGGCAACCATTCATTGACCACAATGTGCTGTTGAGTCGCTATTACCCATTTACGAGCTTCGTTGTAAATCTTCTCGCTCGACCAATCTGGATTGAGACGTTTAATGTGCTTCGCCAGGAAATTGTGCCATCGGAACCACACTATACCGAAAGTCAGCAGGAACGGATTCTCGTTCCCTCGTGGATTTCCTAACTCTGCAACAGATGTACGAATTGCATTAAGTTAAGAACCTCCAGAGATAACACATCGTCATTTGTTGTCCGTACGAGGATATATCTTCTTCGAGCGTTGAGGTTCAAGCGATACCTCAGGCGCGCCGCGTCTTGTTCGACTTGTCACGCAGATCGATCATGAAGATGATGATGTGGATGGAATGCGTTGAATTGGGCCGTCGATAAGGAATTGACTCGAGACAAGAGCGTATTCATAATAGGAGAAGAGGTGGCGGAATTTGACGGCGTTTACAAGATGATGCGTAGTCTTTAGAAGAAATACGGCGACAAAAGGATGATCGATACTCCAATAATCGAGGCTGAATTTTGCGGTATAGCCAAGAGGCGCAGCGCTCTTGGGTTTGCGGTTGATATGCGAATTCATGACTTTTCATTTCTCCATGCAAGCCATCGGCTGCGTAATTAACGGCGCCGCGAAAAACTTGTACATATCCGCCGGCAGATATTCCGTCCTTATCTTATTTCATAGCCCAAACGGTAACGCCAAGGGTCTGGGCTTCGCCACTTGGTACATAAGCGCGCCCGGCCTCAAGGTCGTGTCGGCATCGACTTGCGAGGGTTGTCTTGAGGCCGCCGTAAGGGATTCGGACCCCGTGGTGATGCTAGAGAATAAGTTACTTTACAATATCAAGGTCGCCTTGTCTGATGAAGCCATTAACTAGGATTACCAGATACCTTTTGGTAAAGCTAAGCTTTTGGAAAAAGGCAAACACATCACCTTGATGACGCACAGTTAAGCGTTCGTCTACACGCTTCAGGCCGCTGAGACATTAGCAGAGTGAAGGATCGAAATAGAAATCATTAACCTGCAATTATTAAAGCCTCTAGATTGAGACACAGACTTCAAGTCGATCGGCAAGACACACAGATTGATGATCGTCGAATTGGGCTGGCCTCGATGCGACGTGGATTCGGAAATCGTTGCGATGGTAATGGAAAATCTGGTATTTTCTAGCTGGACGCGCCCGCCCGTGGTCTGATGCTGCGAAATCGACGTTCCGATGGAGTACTCGGAGAAAATCGAATATGAGTGCACCCCGAAGAATATAGCCGATTATGCTAAGCGTGTCTGCGGCATTAAATTCTAATCGTGTATTCGTTTACGTGTGTTAGTGTAAATAAAATCTTTTACTCACTGAAATATCTGGTGACCTCCTCGGTGTAGTGTCGTGAAACGTATAGCGAATGGTGGGCCGGTGGTGGTGGGTTCGCCATTGGTAATCTTACACTGTTGCGCTCAGGGTACAAGCCGGAAAACGATGACGCGAGTTCGCCACTCGGATGCACGGTTCCGTTGGCATACGTTCTCAAAACGTCCGACCATGCTTTTGACGTGCCATAAATCAGTCCGCCGTCCAAATACGGCGTGATCTCATTTAGCTGTGACATTATATTCATATTTATGGGTTTGGAAAAAATCAGCAGAACAGTGATAGTGTTGTTAAATCCTTAACTGTTAATGACGGAAATATTCATGGGAAGAAATGTGATCTAAATTGTTGATGAAATCGAAATATTGGCGCATTCCAAACAAAAATCTTATAAGGGAGCAATTTTTACAGGATATCATATTTTTGTTTTTAGACTTGCTGAGAATTCTGAAATATCTGAAATTAAAATTAGATCGGACAATTTTTTGAATTTTTGCTTTGCCATATTAGATTCGCCATTTTTAATTTCGCAATTTTGATCTCAGATTTGAAAATTCAGTGACATCAAGAACAAAAATATAATGTTTCAATTGCTCTGTTATAACTTAAATAGCACATTGATATCTTCCGGATATCTTAAGGACATCCAAGACGAACATTATATATTATAGGCAAATATCCTGTGTATATCCAAATTTTATCCCGTGATATATTTTGTTTGTCCTGAGGAAAAGAAAATGATAGCTGAATACTAGCCTTTAAAGTATTCAAAGTATTTTATTGGACATTGTGAAGACTTGGGATATGTTATGGATATTTCTTAGGCGCCTGAAGGAAAAAGAAAAAAAATATAGTGGAATATGTTGAGTCTGAATCGGATTAAGTCTTTTCTGTTTGAGTTATAAATATAAGAAAAAAAGTACTTTATTCGATTTTAAATCGAAATTGGCAAATAATATACATTAATAGTTCGGTTTCATTTTTAGGTGCAAAAGTTTTTGAGCCTTTTACATCTTTTAGATTTTTTAATTTTAATTTCTTAGAATTCTAAAATTCTTTTAATATAAAAGAAACCGAGCTATTAATGTACTCAATTTGCTTTTAAATTTGTATTTCAATTTGCAATTGTCATTTAAAATGCTTACAATAACATAACTAAATATCCTGAAAATATCTCAGGACATTCTAGACATGTTCAAATTCGTTTCGAGGACGTCTTGTGCTCCCTGGGAAATATTTTTTTTGGAATACGCGGATATTTTTCCGTCATCGACAGTTTGGGTCACTTTTCTTCCCGCAAATATTTTCGTCACTAATAGTTAAAGGGTTGACAGGATCATCCTTCTAAAGGACAAGCAAGTTGTACCTGTTGTCGTGGATTGTTCGGCGAATGACCCGTGCGTTGATCATACCGTGTGCGTAAAATAGGCATCTCCGTGTGCCCCGGTTTAATCCTATATTGATGGTCTTCCGGGATATCTATGTTAATATATTCAGGTGGGCACGCTGGTCTCTGAGCATCCAAAATTTCCTCCACCACTTGTTGACCTGTGTAAAAAAATATTTCAAGTTGTTTCAAATACATATATCTCATGTAGAAGATACTCTATTGCCCAGACAACACACGGATGTCCATTGGACGTCCGTTAAAAGGCCATTTTTTTTACAAAAGACGTCCATAGGACGTACGTTTGTCACAACTTTGGACATCCGATAGGACGTCCGATGGACGTACATCGGACGTCTTACAGGTCCGATGTCCAATAAGGACATCCTTGTTACGTCCAATTTATGTCCACGGACGTAAATCGGACATACGGACATAAATTGGACGTGAAATGTACACTCGTGAACTAAAAGGTATGTGCACCGATTTTTTGTTGACTTCGGAACGCACTCCAACTTGAGGAGAAAGACAACCACTGCTTCATACGTCAGCGCGCTGTCACTTATTACGAGAGCAGAAGGATGGCATATACGAGTGTCAAATAAGTAGTGATTGTGGCGTAGACACAAATGTCTTGGAGACTTTAAGTTGTAATTGAAGAAATGAAGAAAACAAATAGTGATTGTGAAGAAAAGTGGCAAAAGGCTTCATAAAATTTGTAAAACAGCATATTAAAGTAGAGTATTAATTGTTTAATAATGTTTTAAGTGAAAAATATTTTTAAATTTGAGTGTAAGTTAAAAAAAAGTTATAAACCATAATTTCTTTAATGTTATTAATTTTATAGCTATAAATTTGCCATCGACGTTAAATGAATATGTATGTAATGCTATCATTTACATAGATGGAAAATTATGTTATTGCGCTCATAAAAAATAAGCAGCAGCAAGTCGAGTGATATTTTTTTAACAAGGTACTCATATCACTCAACTTGGTCTGCTGCTTACTTCTGCTGAATACAATAATATAATTCCTCACCTATGGAAATAATAGCATTATATATATATTCATTCAGCGTCGATGACAAATTTATTAACATTAAAGAAATTATGGTTTATAACTTTTTTAACTTACATTCAAATTTAAAAATATTTTTCACTTAAAATATTATTAGACAATTAATACTCTCCTTTAATATGCTGTTTTACAAATTTTATGAAGCCTTTTGCCACTTTTCTTCACAATCACTATTTGTTTTCTTCATTTCTTCAATTATAACTCAAAGTCTCCAAGACATTTGTGTCTACGCCACAATCACTACTTATTTGACACTCGTATATGCCATCCTTTTGCTCTCGTAATAAGTGACAGCGCTGACATATGAAGCAGTGGTTGTCTTTCTCCTCAAGTTGGAGCGCGTTCCGAAGTCAACAAAAAATCGGTGCACATACCTTTTAGTTCACGAGTGTACATCCATTGGATGTCCGGTGTTGTCTGGGTGGTATACAACCAAGTTAAATTGAGGCAGCCATTAAGTAGGCCATTAAGAGCCAACTCGCGGTTTTTAGTATGAAGAATCGTTATTATCCTTTCTCTCTTTTCTGCACTTAATAAAAAATATTCTTCGCCCTAAATAACTACAGCTCTTAATGAACCTAGTCGTAATTTAGTTTCAAACTGCGTCACACGACATCACAGTTCATACAGTATCAAATTAAAATTGTTATATAATTTATACAAATGCTTTATACATACACACAAACTTTCTGTAGATTTTTTTATGTATGCGAGAAGTAGGTGATACAGATCACATTCTATGTTTTAAGAGTAAAGTATACCTCGCCATTTCATCCTGATTAAATTTGCATTCAAGTGGAAATGATATAGTTTTAAAAATAGTTCTATACGCGTATGTAAATCATTTTCTCACGCACCAAAAAACACGAGCAATGCGTTTCTTCCAGTTCTTGATTTAGATCCAATATTTCCCTTTAGCAGCTTATCGCTCAAGATTAATGGTTTCGGTCTCTTAGAACCTGATGGTTTGTATACTCCATCTTCATAAGCTGCTGGTAGTTTCCTCAACAAGGGAGTGTCGACGGCGCCTAGCTCTGGTTTACCGATATTATTGTACCATCCATCGTAACCAGGATACTCTTTCGCGGCGCGATATTGTGTGCATATATTCGATGGAGAAGGCTTTCCCGTTTGGGCACCCCAACATCCAGTGAATAACCAATCTGTTAACTGTTTATCGAACTCTTCCTTGGCTGTTTTTTTCTCCGGTTTCTTAAAGACTGAAAAACAAGTGGACGTGTTTCTTTAGTACAAGTACGCATGCGATAAGTTTATAGTATCAAATATAGGCATAACGTACATCTATTAGGGTCTGGCGTAGGGGCAGGTGAGGGTAGAAGTGGAGGTGGAGATCGTGATGGTGCGGATGGCGGTTTTGAGACGTTTTGTGCAGCAAGTAATGAGAGATGAATTACGATAACAAATAAATGTAACGTGAAATGCATAGTGCGCGTTCTCTATTATCGCCAATATATACGGCAAATACAAGCACCGTTTAAGTCACATAAAAATGATTGTTTCAGCACTACTGAGTTCCACGTACTGACAGAGCTTCAAGAATTTCTGCTAACGAGGAGTATACCATTCCCATGAGAGAGCGGTCTGCTTTGAGTATTTCCTTCCCGTACGATAAGAGAAACCAAATGTGTGTACAGGAAGCCAAATGTGTGAATCACTAGTTATATTATTAGAGCATGAATAAATTGATCGCATGCTCGTTTCATTTTTTCTCACGATAATCGGCTACATGTATATTCTGTGGATTATACTTGGTGGAAAAATTAAGCGAGCGCAAAGCACTGCGCAATATATACACGCCGAGAAAAAAGCCCTTTGGTTCGCGATCGTTAGTAGAATCGCGGTATTTATACTGCAAGTCATTTTTAACGCATTAATATGATCATCATGCGGACGCATTTAAAAGACCCTCGGATCCCACGGGGAAAGTTTCCCCGTGAGATCAAATAGTGTATTTTTTACTTGACGGTCTTACACGTGGAGATAACGGCGAGTATTTTCTACACATCGCGAGATACGGCTATGTTTATGAAAATACTCTCGCTTTTTATCCGTTGTATCCGGCTATGATTCGCGTCGTTGGCGCCGCTTTGCTGAATACTTACCATGCGGAATATTCAAAGTACGATGATGCTGGCCGCGACACGCATTAATTTCGCGTGTTTTGTCAAGTCCGCGATTATCCTTTACAATCTCATCGAACATGTATTTAAGGACACTGTAACGGCGTATAAAGCGGCGATACTTTATGGTATAAATCCGGCCAGTGTATTCTTTTCGGCTGTATATTCGGAACCCATGTTCGCGTATCTGTCGTTTTACACTATGCTCGAAAGTATAAAATGCATGTCTGCTATTTCTCTTCCACTTGCTCTGTTAACCTTGGTGAGATCGAACGGTGTTATTAATATCGGTTTTCCCATGTATTTCGAGCTTAAGAATCTATGTGATTTCGCATCGGGAGAGACACAACGGAAGCGTAACATTCTGTCGACCGTCTGGCATATCTTAAAATTCATGACATTGAGTTATTTTTTCACTATATTGAGCACGATAATTATAACGGTGTCGCAATTCATTCTCTTACAAATATACACTTACATGAAATTTTGCACTCCCATTGATACGTTGTTGCCGACTCATATCTTACAATGCACTATAGAAAACGACCTAGTTCTACCGGGTACGAAAAATTCGGTATGGTGTAACGTTAGTGTGCCTCTAATGTATTCGTATGTACAAAAAATGTATTGGAACGTCGGATTCTTGAAATATTATCGATTCAAATAGATATCGAGTTTTATCTTGACTTTTCCGATATTGCTCATCATGTTGCACTGTGTTAAAGTATTCCTCTTTGAATATAAAAACGTGTATTCGCTATATTCGGGATTATTTAACGGCAAAGCGAAGAGTGAAGATACTAGAAATGAATACTAGTAAAGAAATATCCACTGGATATATTTGCCTTCTCGATACATGGATTATTTTTGACCATATTTTGCTTATTCTTCATGCATATTCAAGTCAGCACACGTTTATTAGCTTCTGCGAGTCTTTTAATATATTGGTACTGTGCGTTGATGATGTCTCATAAGTATACCGACATACTGATAAGTATGTTGACCCGTAGTATGAAAGTAGAGAGAACATATGCTCTAAGTGGAAATTGTGTTTTTATCGTAAGAACGATATACGTTGCAGAATAAGTTGCAGGTACTGTTTTATTTCATAGGATATACAGTTGTAGGATGTTTCAAGTTTTCAAATTTCTTGATATGTCATATCTCGTATGTGTATACATGCGTATTTTTAAAGTAAAATAAGTTGTTTCTAAATTTTTCAGACACACTTCAGTTGTACATTTATTTGTTGAAGCTCTTATACATAAAAAATGAATATTAAAATAAGATACAATATAATATATTAAAATAATCAAGAATAATAATCAAGAAAAATTATTTGTAAATAGTATCAAAGTAATAATTTACTTTTAAGAGAAAATATATTTATTTATTTCTAAGAGGAAATATACAATATTTATTTATATTAAAATGTATACACTTGCGGTATGTATCAGATATACAAAATTCTGCGAATATGTAACAATTTTAATAATTAACAAGATATTCTCTCATACGTTATATATTTAAGCTTATTTATTTATATAATTAATTTAAATATATCAGCTTTCTTTGATATGTTGTTTTTTATGCTTCAGTATCTCGATAGGTGTAAGATATAGTGTCTGCGAACATTGAGGACATTCATACGCTTGACTATTAGGTTTATGTGCGACATTTTTATTCTCCCTGTCGTCTTTACTAATCTCATTTGCGATTACACATATATTCTGATGTTGAATTTTTTCTAAACTGGATAGTATTGCTTGGAGACCACAATTTTGACAATGCCATTCAGTCTCTTGCATTTCTATAATCAGTTTCTCACTCCAATCGGTTTCCTTCATACTATAACACATTCATATAAAAGATTTATTAATAGGTAAATTAATCAGCGATGTTCAATAAAATAATATTTAATCTTATATCATCTCGTGTGTGTTGACTGCGTCTTTACACAGAGGTAGTTTGAGTAACTGTATTTTAATATGTATTAATAAAATATTTTTTTACACTCACCAATTATACGTAATATTTTCTGTTACATAAATTCCACCTTTAACCACATTTGGTGTACTTTTAAAATCAGATTTGAAAGGATTAGGTTCTATGCTTATATTATTATTTTTATTGCCAACATAAATTGTTTTTAAATCAGCTGGTAGTAGTCTTTTTATCGTATATGGTATTGTAGTATTCATGTATTCAATTAGTTTTCGAGTAAGACTTTGTTCAATTTTACTAAAATCTTGTTTTGTATCGTTTGTTTCATCAGATACTAAAATGAGATTAATATATCTTTAATAGAAATAAAAGAAAACGTAGCTTCATCGTGAAATATGTATCTTCTTACCTTGCAATTGATGATTTAATAAGAAATCCCACTCATTCCTTAATTTAGTGGCTTTCATTAATAAAGTTTGACCAGTATCAGGAACTGGGAATTCTAGCATCAACCATGAATCACATGCTATTCTGTAACATTTATATATTGCATGGTATAAATTAGTAAATGCATAAGTGTGAAAAGGTGTACTTACATAGAAAATGTGCTGTTTGTATCTATTTCGCGTGCGAATAATAGTAATGTTTGTGCGGCAGGCATTCTCAAAGTATTTACCAAATATGGCTTTGTAGTTTCCAAGAGAGAGCTGTCAATATGTTGTAAAGGATTGTTTGTATTTGATAAATTGTTACGAAACCATAAGTAAATAAGATAAATGTAAATAATCTTACAGATATGCCAATATTTGATGTTTAGGGCTAACAGGAGTTTTGCTTTTAAAACCTGATATCGATACCACATCCACTTCTTCGACTTGCAGTACTTCTGGATGATTTCCAAAGAAACTCATTGGATGTAAAAGAACATACTGCTTCGCTTTCGTATGAAATAATTGCTCGCTCATAGACTGAACAATAATACGAAAATATCATTATATGTTATGCTATATTAGACATAATTTATTTACCTTGCAGTAATTAAACTCGTCGGCACAAGCAAACTGTGGATACAAGCCGCTACATAATATTATCTTTAACATTGTCAGATCTTTGTAGCTACATGCAGTCGCGGCCGTTAGAAGATTCTGCACTTGATTCGAGTCGTTTCTCATTCGGAATTCTATATCCTTTATGTCGAGCTCTCCGTTATCTTCGTCGTTATCTTCCAATTGTATTTCGAATGTATCTATTTTTAATTGTTTACGTTTTCGGGGTTCGTTTTGCTTATAATTTCTTTTGAGTGACTTTAGAAGTTTCAACTCGCCATGTCTTATTGCACGTTCTGCGCTTGTCATAGAGGAATTTGGTTCTGGGATACCTTTGAGTAAGTTGCAATCCTATGTGGTTTCATAAACACAATATCATTAGATGTCTTACGGAGATATTAAGAATTTGATGTTTAATGCGGACCTACAAGAAACGCTATTACTAACTTGGAGTAATTCTTTAAATTGACTTCTTAATTTCGTCATTTCGTAAAACCGTTGTTCTTCCAAACCTCTTCTTCTACACCATTTTCTGCTACTGTTGCCACTGCTCCTATATTCTTGGGAATTTTCTTGCTTCACTTCCAACCATTCTTTAAATGCGTTTAGTAACGTTATTGGATCACCATGGTCAGATTCCAATTTTTTTCTAGATGTCTTCAATATTATCAATATTGTTTTAGTATGTAATTAACCCAGTAATATAATTGCATGTTTCGTCTTACGGTCACATTAATTACCTCGCACTCAGTGTCCCTGTAAGCCCTGTTCGTAAACGGTGTTTGTATGCTTAGAGCAGCAGCCAATGATAATACCGGCTCTACTTCGTGAAAAATCGATCCCATTATTAACATTTTCCCTATTGTAATGTCAACAGGTAGCCGTGCTAAGGTTTTACCGATACACGTGATTTTTTCGTTATCCGTAAGTGCACCCTATTATATAAAATTATATAAAATATATTAACACTTGATATTTATTACTTTGGCAAAAACAGCGAAAAATACAATATCAAAATACCAACGTGATCTTTTAAAGACAGTATGGCGTTCTCTATGCTATTAGCTGGTGGTGGTTCTATAAATGGAAATTTGCGTGCATCCGGTAGGCCCATTGCTATCATTTGTAACGCTGAGGAATCTAAAGATACACGTTGTAGTTCTGGCGTTGAATATTTTTCCAATATCTTGTATTCTTCCTCTGAATAAATTCTGTAAAACAATAATATTGTTTACATATGTATCAAAAGTTTTTTTTATATAATTCAACATCAGATAAATTGCCTGTAACAAACTCCAGGTCCAGTTCTGCCTGCTCTGCCTTTTCTCTGCTCCGCACTGGCTTTACTTATCCAGAATTCTTTAAGTCTTTGCATCTTGCATGATGGATCATAACTCATTTCCTTTACTTTGCCACTATCAGCAACAAATCTGATGCCATCGATGGTGATAGACGTTTCCGCAATGTTAGTCGCGACTATGCATTTCCTAACACCTTCAGGCACATAATCGAATACCTGAAAGAACATTGTTTTTACAATGTTTATGACACAAGAACATTTAATAGAATATATTTAGAATATCGTAGAAATAGCATACTTTGTCTTGTTCAGCGATAGAAAGTGTACTATGAAGAGGTAAAATAATCCAATTATTTTTTTTCTTACTATATTCTTTGGCAGCGTCTACAACTGTGGTAATTTCATTCATCCCACTCAGGAATATTAATAAATCACCTTTTTCATCGGCTAGAAACAGTTTTATCATTGTAATTATTATAACTCACTCATTTTTATAATATCATTAGTAATAAGATATAATTTATATATCCCTTACATGGATATTTTTGATCAATTATTTGCAATATTTGCACATATGGACTTGGATTAAATCTGTCATTTTTGTATTTCATATCTTCTATCGTTACAGGGCGATACATCAATTGAATAGGATATAATCTTCCAGGAACCTGGATGTTATATGAAATATTTCCAGCATTAACAATATTTAAAAAATGTTTTTGAACAATCTGTTGAAAGATTAGATAATTATAATTTTACCTCTATTGTTTTAACATCTTCCTTTGCAAAATAATTATTAAATAATTCTATATTAATAGTGGCAGACATTAGTACCAATTTTAAATTGGGATTCTGATAAATAATACATTTCATAATGCCCAGTAATAAATCTCCATGTAGATGACGCTCATGCACTTCATCCAAGACTACTACATCATATACAGATACTGCTGATTCACCCGATACCTATGTAACAAAATATATAATTGGAACTTTCTGAGGCTCTACACAGTAATTTGCAAAGATATGAAGATACCTACCTGTCGTAACAATAAACCCTCTGTTATGAATGTAATATTTGTCTGCTGGTTTCTTTGTTTTTCAAAGCGTATCTGATAACCAACAGTATTAAAATTTTCACTCAATGTTTCAAAGGCAACTCTTTTTGCCAATGATATACACGCTATTCTTCGAGGCTGTGTACATGCTATATTGGAAGCAAATGTTTGAGAATAAAATATTTACCAATCATATTACATTGCTCAAAACAATTAGATCATATTAAATGATAATCCTGTTGAATGACTGAATCAAATATAGAAGTACATGAATAGTTCTAAAATATTGCGTTTTTATAAATGTGTTTATTACAGACTAGAATTAAATATTAAAATATATATTTTCTTTCTGCGTTTCATATACTTAATAAATAGACATGTATAAAAATATTCTTTGCTTTTAGCAATGTAAGAAATATGAACTAAACGCATTCAAGATTAAAATTATCTTACCTATTTTCTGAAAACCACCTTTGTATAAATATTGAGGGATTTGAGTAGATTTTCCACATCCAGTGTCTCCTGCTATGATGACTACTTTTTCTCTCTTCACCATTTCTATAATTTTATCCTTATACTGTGCAACTGGTAAATTAGCTTGCATATCCCTGAGTTTCTTCAACTTGTTGAATTTTTCCTTCTGCTTGAAATCCAAATATAGGACTACCACATCCTTAAACTTTAGTAATCGCGATTTTGTTAATTGCTTTGTCTCGGGAACTCGCGCAAATAATTCTCCGTTAGATAAGTTAAGCTTAAAATTCAAGCAATAAGATTTGTGGTAGTTCTCCGGTACTCCGATAGAATTTAAAACAGAATCAGCGACAGATTCGTCATTATCGTTCAATTGCTTCCTCACGGACTCATATTTTTCGACGAATTTCCAAAAGTCTGTGACATCGTAAACGAGATTCGGATTTGCCGTAAAGATTTTACTTAACTCGTGCTTATACTTGCTGAAACAAAAAGCTTCGTTGCTCTCTTCGCGACCATACTCCGGGGACGAATTTCGCACAGATTTCAAGGAACTGCAGTCTTCGCTGTTACGATCATCGCGACGTTTTTTCCTATATTTGTCGTTTTTATGCGCACGTTCGCGACTGGATGAACGTCGTCTTATTTGATTTCTCGATGACATTTTTCACCGACTTTAATTTTTATATTGTGCCATAACCTGACTTTTTAGATGATAAGTTTTGCGATATTATAGGATGCGTCACTGCAAATTATTCTCTAATCGTTTATGCTTACAGCAAGATTTCTGTTTTCATATTAATATTTCAATAATCCTTCAAATATGAAATATTAATTCAGCAGAATCTTTTTCATTACAGCACTGCTTAAAGTAAAACTTAATCATGTAAACATAACCTGTACGCTAAACCATGTCACTCTTTTTCTCTCTCTCTCTCTCTCTCTCTCTCTCTCTCTCTCTCTCTCTCTCTTTTCCGTTTTATACATATAATCTTGACTCTAAATTTTTATAAGACGATTTCAACGTCACTGTTTCGCTAAAAATTAGTGCGATAATTGACACTTTGCTTATTATTATTGTCGACAATCGAATAATATGAAATTTGCTCTTCTAATTTGCACCGTAATACACTTTCTACACTCAGTCAAACAAGTTTGTACTTGGATGGTGCAAATATAAAGAAGTAAAATACTGGAAATATAAAAATATTAGATACGAAAAAGAGGCAAATTTTGTGTCGTCTATTAAAATATGACTAAGTAGGAATATAGTTTCTGACATTTCATTTATAAATTAAATGTGAATGCAATAAAAATTCCACTTTCCCAAATAAACAAATTTCGGCATATTGTCTGCGTAGAAACTGAATTTAAGAATTAAAAATAGTAGCATAAATACGTAAAGATGTGTCCTTATTCCTGACATAAATTTATTACTGGCTGTAATATTGGCAATAAATTGGCCAGTGATAGTAAGTAATTTTATTACTCATATGAATAATTTTATTTTATTTTATATATTATTATTATTATTATTATATATTATATATTATTAGAATTTTATACGAGTAATAAAATTACTTATTATCCTTGGTTAATTTATTACAGTCAATATTAAATTTCTATAAGAGATATAAGAAGCATTGTAGCATATATAAAAGAAGCAATCTGATGCCATGAAAATTGCGGCAATATATTATGTATTGTGTCGGCAAGAAGATGCAATTAATCAGCAGTATAACAAGCTGATATTGCTGCTGCGTAATAATAATCTGATTTTGCTGCAACACATGGAATAAATACGTATTTCTTACAAGCATATTACAAACATGTTATGCCTCTCCAATGGTATTATAAAATATACGTTGAATGCCTGCATGCTATTACCAACATGTCTATCTATCTGGATTGAATCACACATCACGCATACAAGTCAAGTATTTAATAAAATATCAGGCACGTATGTGCGAAATCGACGCGGCACGAGTAACAACAGAAATGGCAGCAGATTCAACATTCTAGAATAGATATTAAAAATCGCAAACACTATTATTGACTACAGGAGACTTTTGAATTTGGAGTGGAACACACACACACACACGCACAATATACACGTATATAGTTTTTTTATAAAAATGGCTTGAGATTGTCTCAAGTTGAAGACGAAGAGAAGCTTTAAGCAAGAGATAGATTGTGTGAAGGATATTATTATTAATTGCATTATTCTTATAAAATTATCGGCATATCGTACAAGTGACTAATAATACATCGGCTATTTATCGCGATCGAGCGTAAGTTCAATGAGATCGTGACTCAAGATGCACTCCTTGTCAGCTTTTCTGCTAATTTTTTCCGGCAATATCATTTATCGCACGTTTCCACAAGCTTCTTATCGCCTCTACGTTCCGTACTCCACTGATCCTGTCCTCAGCTTCTCGTCAATCGTCACTTGCCTTCGCGTTCTCGGAGCAAATCGCACATTATTGGCGACCTAATCCCGCTACTCACACGTGTTCAAAATCGCAGAGCGAAATTCACGGCGACACGGCGAAGTACAGAGAATTAGGTCGGAAGAAATTTGAACTCTTTCTCGAAAGCAATTGCGTATACCCTTTCCAGACATCTCACTATTACGCGTCCACGCGTTAAGGGCGCTCGATAAGGAAGCGTGTCTGTCATTAATATTGGGAAAAAAGGGTGTCGCGAGAAACTAATAATAAAATCATATGAGTAACTGTCTCCCTCCAACTCCCGGTTGGGAGTCGTGAATCGACGAATAGAGGCTGCTGAGTGTCTGCTTCTATCAGCGTTATCGTCATCGTCAGATTAATGTCGAAGCGCCTTGAAAGAACGTCACGTGTGTATCGTGCCGGTGTGCGTCGTAGACGGACGCACAGACAGAGTCAACGTTTTCTCGGAGTCGCTCTCAAGTGTCCCGCGAGTTCGATTTCCGATGCCTTCGAGCTGTTCGAGAACGGGAAGCTTCATCTCGCTTTAATCGTTCGCGTTACCGTTCGTTGCGCGCCGTGAATGAATGCGGACAAGAGTCGACTTCGCATATTCTCCGTTGAGAAGTGATTTCAACGAGATTATAGCGCGCGCCTTCGATTTCTGCCGGTCCGCGTGTTGTACTCCTTTGATCAGAGATGTTCGCCAACGCGGTGCAGGCGAAGGTGGCGTCGATGGTGCTAATCGGCGCCGGCAGTTTCATCGTCGGCATCACGCCCGCCTGCTTCGTCTCGCACGCCGAGCACCTACAGAAGAAGTTACTGCTGTCCTGCACTTTGTGCTTCGGTGCCGGTGTCCTGCTGGCCACCGCGAACCTCCACATGCTGCCGGAAGTGCGCGAGGATCTCCCGAATCACGCGGAACTGGTGTTCTCCTGCGGTTTCCTCCTACTCTATTTGATCGAGGAGTGCGTACACTATTTCTGCCCGGGCGGCGGTCACGAGGACGAAGCTGGTCCTCGTAATCTTGGTCCGAGAAACACGCACGAGAGAGGGTAGGTACGTGCTGAGAGAACGTCAGTGCGATCCATGAGGATCGATCGGTGTGTCTCTCGAATATTCTCGCAGGTATTTTTGGGTATTTAAGTATAACCTGCTGCTGCTCAAGGTTGGGAAAGTTACTTTGCAAGGGTCATTTTTATCAAGCTCAGGCTAAATTAACTGATTTAAAATCCTTAGTAACAATAATAATTTCAGTTGAAATTCTGCAAGGTTATTAAAATCTGTTTTGTTAACTAGATCCTAGATCATCTCCTAGTCCTTAAGATCATTTTTACCAAGCCCAGTTAAACTAATTGATTTAGTAAGCTTGCACGATTCCAACTGTAGCTACTGTGAGAAAAAATAGAAAATGAGCATTAAATCAGCAACTTCAGTCGAAATTTTATTTATTGCTTAGTAAAAGAAAATCAATTAGTTTAATTGAGCTTGGTATATAGTCCTAAGGAGCTTGGTAAATAGTTTTAAGAACTACTTTTACCAAGTTACAATTAACCAGCCATTTTAGTAGCCTTTCAGCAGGTTTTCAACTGAAACCGCTGGAGGAGAAATAGAAAATGAGGAAAAAAACAGCAACTTCAGTTGAAATTCTGGAAAATCATTTGTTATCAAAATATTTAGTTTTAACTGAAACTTGGTGGAAAAGTGGCCCTAAAAGTATATACTTACAGTTACAAATAATATAGAACATAATTTTTTACTGAAAAAATAATGCTTTTGTATAACACAATATTCTTTATTGGAAAACAGCTATAGTTTTTCAAAAAGTAACGAGTCGTTACTTTTCAGTTACTTTCTTGCATCTGTTATGCACTATTATTTTAACTATAAAAATCCTACATTTCAGGTTTTACCAATTTATTATATACTTCATGCTTGATTATGTTCTATATTATTTAATATTCAATAAATGACATTCTCTCTTTCTTTCTCTCTCTCTTGTGAGATAAAAGAATTAAATCATACCTTCCTTCTAAATACTGAGAATAAATTTATTATACACACATGTATACATTATTAGACTATATATAATATTGTAATAAAATATAATATTTTAATATTTAAATATATTTTGTAATTGTATAAATATATTTTATAACTTTATAATTATATTGATATAATTAACATTTTATAATAAATTATAATCTAATATTTTAATAAAATGTACTAAAATATTAAAACATATTTTATTATAATATTAATAATATATACAATGTATAACAATAATATTAACAATTAAAACATTCACTTTATATTCCGTAATTCCTAATCAATAATTCCCTAACAATTTCGTAAAGTGCTCAGAACAATAATCTACACAATCATAATCTAGCTATAAAGTAACTAAAAATTAAAATAACTGTTATATTAGTTGTTGATTACAAAAAAAATGTAATTAAGTTAAATCAGTTATAGTTACAGTTATAGACGGAGAAAAGGGAATGAAAGGGATTAAATTACAGTTACCGAAGAAGAAAATAACTGTAATGTAACTTTGTTACAAGTAATGAGTTACTTCTTAACCCTGCCACTGTTTAATATAGGAACGTGCAATTCGAATTTCAAAGGGAGACACGTGAAACGATGATAAACATCTCGTCCTCTTTCTTTTCGACTATTTCTATACTTCGTATGATATACATGGTGCCAATCGCGCCGCGACGGTATTATCATTCGTTATCGATGATAAGCGATATGGTACAATGCTCTTTTATTAAATGAACGGCGAAGTTGTGTAAAAGTTATGAAATGTTTGTGTGAATTATTAATTTTCTACTGGAAATATGTCGATGATGTAATCTTTCTCTTTTCTACTAAAAACGTTTATAATTTGCTTATTTCTAGATAATATAGATAAATGTTATAAATAATATTGAGTATAATATTTAACATGTGAAGTAGCAATCATTGATTGCTATTCTCATATTAGGTTCTCTAAACATACAATAGTCATGTGTTTAAATCGTTACATATAATTTGGATGAAGAATAATCGGAAAATGAGCTAAATCTCATGTTAAAATCTAAAGGTTTAAATCTTTTAAATCTTCGCGTATCCCTTCCTTTTTCCTATTTCCTTCTTCGAATTCCTTCACTATGCTATTTAAATGCTCTCGCAGTCTGTCCATGTACCTACCTACAGCCATGTTTTCTGATTTCTTCTTGTACACTTGGGACTTGCAGGTCATCTTTAGATATTTTGTTAAGAACATATTTCAGTTCACTGTTATTCTTAGTACTTTGGTGTGAAATTCCAATATTCGAGTTTTCGGCTGATAATCGACTTATATACTTGGTGAACAATTCTATGCACGTGAGAAATGCCGACCTGTTTGAAGTGATCGATTACGTAATTGTAGAGAAACCTTTTCGTTCTTCATTCTGCGTGACTTCGAGAATCACATAAGTTTCTCGTTGGATCCAATTCTCATCGGCGAATTCTTATCAAAGAAAAATCACGCGATCCGTGTCGGTAAATTGGCGCGAAAAATGTGGTCTTCGCCTTTCCGCCTTCAGAGAAGAGTCACGCGATAGAAATATATCGATGTAGCATACTTGATGTCAGACAATGACCAACATTACGTTACTTTTTACTACTGTTTTCCACCTGATCAGATAGAGCTTGTCAAAACAAATGCTAATGTTACGTTAACGATAGCATCTCGATAGCATCTCGATGACATTTCGATGGCTCGATGTGGGACGATCGTCGACTCGCGCACTCGAGCGCTTCGATTCTTGACTCTCAGGTATTTGCCGTGGTGAAGAACGAATAGGGATGAAAAGCATGCTCATAGGTGGAGAATAATCGCTCACGCCATTGTTGGACATTGACACTCGATATCAATTTCCATTGTTTGTGAGTCTATCCACTAGATTGCCCCCACACTCGAGTACCGCCGGTTGTCCGTGGTAAGCATCGAGGTCGAGTTTCTCATGACGAATGGCAGCGACTCACGAGAGGCTCGAGTTACTCATCACTCTCGAATGTCTCAATGATGACGAGAATTTTACGTGGAAATTTCTCATTCGAGCTATCCGGTAGCCGACCTACTGATTTCCACAGATACGCTCGAAAATTATTCACGTACGCGCGAACGGGGGTAGACGATGGTTCTCCGTTGCGCAAAGCCCGATGAGAATAAAATCGACTGTAGTTCCGAAAAGGTCCAGCCTCCGATTTTGTGAAAGTTAGTGAAATGGTGCCAAATACATATAAATAAATATGTCTAAGAGGTCTTTTGGCGCAATTGAAGATTAATTAAGATAACTCAAATAATGGTCGTACAATTAGATTAGGGTGAGGTTAGGACGAAGGCTCTGCCTTCGCTCGCACATATATCGGTTAAATATACTGTTATTACTGCGTATTTGAACTTAATTTAATTTTTTCTTACAGGTTAGGAGTATATACAAAGATGAAGAATAAAGTTAGATTAGGTTAAATTTTTAATGGAATGCGGATGATGATGTATTAATGATATATCAATTAATTAACCCTTTGAGGTACGTATTTTTCAGAAAATCCGAATCACATAAAAATTTATATACGGGGGTTTCTGGGATCGCTGATGAATCCATTATCAGATTTTCGAAATTCCAGATGGCGGGTCCAAGATGGCGGACGCAAAAATGAAAAATCGCGATAATTTCAGTGACAATGGGTATTGTGGGGTTTTTGGAGTCGCTGATTACGAATCCGTTATCAGACTTTCAAAATTCAAGATGGCGGCTACACATATGAAAAATTAACTAATCGGAAGACAATGTCAAGTAAATATATTAGAATTCCATGATCCGCCAACTTGAATCTGCAATCTTGAATAATGAGTTTTGGACCTCGGATTCGTAATCGGCGAGTTCAAAAACTAACCAAAGTACAATTTTAGCTAATTTTATGTACATTCTATGATCCGCCATCTTGGAAAATTAATTTTGGCATTTGGATCTCAGATTCGTAATTAGCGACTCAAAAAACCCCCAAATCTTGATTTTGAGCAAAAAATTCACTCATAGTTCGTGGAAAATGATTTTTTTCTGTAAAAATGTATTTTTCACACTTTGTTTATTTATAATAAATGGACAACTTAAAGCAAAACACATTTCAACCTTTCATGTATGTTCCTATATCATATAAGCAGCTAAAAAACGCAAAAAACTCGACAAGAATCCCTCAAATATGAAATATTTCATGAAAATGTGAGAATAAATAGGTGGTAAGTATACTTACCACTATGCCTCAAAGGGTTAAACGTATTAATTGTTAGATACATCATTGAAGGCATCATATACAGGCATCAGATACATAATAAAACGTCATTTGACGTCATCATGTTTGCTGAGTCACATTTGAAGGCTTTTTGAAAAGACCTCTTGCGAAATACCGCGCACGGTAGAAATCCATCACCGATCATACACCGCCGCGTTTCACCGATGATTCACTCACAAAAAAGATGGTGTTTGTGTAGTCGCAAAAAAGGGTACGAAAACTAATGTTACTTGCAAAATATGCAAACAACCATTTGAAAAAGCCATCGAAAATTTATAAGGTTTATTAATGTGTTTTGAAAAGAGTTTATGGTGTTATTTTTCAACAAGTTATTTTTCAACAGTCTATAATTATTTTACTTCTTTAGTTTTATTATTAATTTATATTGATTTATTTGTAGTTTCAGAGTTTCAACATTTATATAAATCTGTTATGATTATCCATTCAGCCATACTAATTTTTTGGATTATCGTGAGTAATCCTTTGTTTAGACAAATATCCATTTTTGTCATTTTTACCTCAAAAAAAAGGAGAAAATTCACAATATACTAAAAATATTTTACAAGTTTATAAATTACAAGTTTAAAAATTATGACGTTTTTCTCATATAATAATTAAAAATTGTTTTTTAAGAAACAAAATTGATATTTTGATTAGTTTTAATTATTCGGGCACAGCAAAAATTTAAAGTTTAAATTTCGGCAGGAACTGAAGGAATTGCCGAAAAAAATTATGAGATATGACCGTAGATCACTTTGTGATTAATATACCAAAAATACAATACTTGATATTACAAGGATAAAATACAGTTTCATGCAACTTATAATTAATAACTAACTATACAGTTTTATAGAATTTACAATTTCATGTAACATATTTCAAAAACGAGATCATTTCACATCCGTGGGTATGTAAGATTTGGAAATAAATATATTCATTATTTTCGCATTGTCTCAGTTATCAGATAATTAAAAAAGTTCGTGCGATTTTGTATATTAAATATACAATATACAATATATTACAACAAATATACAATATATTAAAAATTAAACAAGGGTAGAAATATTCAGAAAAGAATGTTATAATTGATATATGAATATAATATAATAATATAATATTGATAACTTTTTGTTATCAATAACGGCAGGTCTTTCTGAACATGGCATATCTTCAAGCGATTCATCGCTATAGAAGAAAATTTTTTAAATCGTTTCTGTGTAATCCGTTCTTTTAGCACATCTTCTCTAAATGTTATCTTACGACATGCCTCTGCAGCTTTTGACCCGAGTTTAAATTCATAAAGCGACATTCTTGAGTTACATTCTCGATTCAACAGATGTTTTAAAAGAGAGAATAATTACAAACCAAAAGACTATGTCACAACAAAGTTCACCAATTGACTGACGCAAATCTGTGTTATATGATACGCATAAACACGCGCGCTCGATAAATCTCAGTAAGATTCGACAACTCACTACATCGAATCTAAATTAAAACCGCACCAACTTTTTTTGGTCACCTAATATTAGGATGTTGAATTAATTTTGATCTTATTTTGTCAATTCTTTTATCTTTATTTTAAAGAAATGGTTAAATTTACATCAATCAAAATATTTTCCGTCGTTAGCTGAAACTTTTTCCCATCTTTCTGGCAACATAGCGATTCCGCGACGATAGAACGATCTGTCTTTCGAAGCAGTCCAATCAGACATCCATTTGTGCATATTCTCATAATTATTGAAGTATGTACTACTGTGTCAAAAAGTATCAAAAAGTATCCGAACTTTATTTTTTAAAAATCGCGGGTAAACTGTAAATCAAATCCGTTTGCTTTCTTAAGTTGCTACACATGTCCTTTACATTTGGTGAAAAAATCATGGCGTTTCTTCAAGCCGTTTGAAAGTGGCAATTGTTTATGTCAGTGAAGATTATTGTGCACGGTGATTTTTACGATGTCGAAAAATATGGAGCAAAGAATTTGTTTGAAATTTTGTGTTGCGAACGAAATTTCGCTCACAAACGCATTCAAAATGTTGCAAAAAGCTTATGGCGATGATTATTTATCGAAAACAAATTTGAGTGATTTAATAAGTTTCAAGAAGGACGAGAATCCGCATTGAAGACGATCCACGCTCTGGAAAACCATCAACGGAAAACGTCAACGGATGACGCTCACATTGAGAAAGTGAAAGAATTGGTGCTCCAAAATCGTCGATTGACTGTCGAGAGATAGCAGATAAAGTTGGAATATCATTTGGATCGTGCATTTTGTCCAATGTATTAGATATGAAACGGGTCGCATCGCGCTTGATTCCTCTGAATTTTCTCCAAAAAGATAATCGAGTGTTAGTGTCGTCTGAGATGATTTCTACGATATCCAGAGACAGAACATACATGAAACGGATCATAACTGGTGATGAAACATGGGTTTACCAATACGACGTCGAAACAAAGCAACAATCATCGGAATGGCGTTTGAAAAATGAAGCAAGATCGAAAAGAGCTCGCCGTTTGCAGTCAAAAGTCAAGGTCATGCTCACAGTTTTCTTTGATCATCGCGGTGTTGTGCACCAGGAATTCCTGTTCAAAAAGTCAATGCAAAATACTACTTGTCCGTCATGAGGCGTTTGCGCGAAGCAATCCGTAAGAAACTACCGAGATTGCGGGAAAACAACTCATGGATTTTGCATCACGACAACGCACCATCGCATACCTCGATACATTTGTGCGTGAATTTCTGACAAAAAACTCAACGAATGTCGCTCCGCAAGCACCGTATTCACCAGACATGGCCCCCTACGACTTTTTTCTGTTTTCCCTACTGAGAAAACCACTTCGCGGGCAGAAGTTTCGAATCGATTGAGGCCATGAAAGAAAAATCGCTGCGTGAATTGAAGGCCATACCGTCTGCCGCGTATGAGCGATGTTTCCAGGACTGGACCAAACGCTGGCATATGTGCGTTGCAAGCAATGGGGACTACTTTGAAGGAGGCTATAAGAATTTTAATGATTATAAGAATTTAATGATTGAATAAGAATTTTAATGATTGAATTGTAATTTTGATTTTTAAAAATAAAGTTCGGATATTTTTTGATCACAGTAATATCATTCAATTTATTCAATTGTTGCTGGTATCGCTCCTCCGTAATTGTTTCATTCGGTCTAGAAGCTCATAGTACACCACACCTTCCATATCCCACCAAATACAGAGCATTGCTTTGTGACCATGAATGTTCCGTTTTGGTCGATGTTGATGGTTGTCCTGGATCAACCCATGATTTTTTCTCTTTGGATTACCAAAATAAATCCACTTTTCATCTCTAGTTACAATTGGCCACAAAAAAACTTTTTTTCTGCCTGGCAAGCAAAGATATGGCGATATTCAAACGATTTGCAATGGTACTTTCACTCAATTCATATGAAACCCATTTGTCTTCCTTTTGAATTTTCTCCATGGCGTGTAGAGGCGTTTAGAAATTGTTGATTTATCGACGTTGAGCTGTTCAGCCAATTGTTTTTCCGCTTGAGCGGTATTTTCATTCAATACTGCTTGTAATTCAGAATCTTTGAATTTTTTTGGTTGACCAGTACGTTCTTTGTCATTCAAATCGAAATCATCACTTTTGAATCGTTGAAACCAAAATTTACAGTTGGAATACGATGGAGCTTGATTAACAAAAGTTGTAACAAACATTTCATGAGCTTCATTTGTCGATTTTTTTTGAAATCAAACAAAAAAAGTAATGAATGTCGAAAACATAATTTTATACTATCCATTTTAGACGCGTATCAATAACAATAGCGCGCAAACTGTATATCATAGAGAAATGTCAAATCTTTCAGTGTTGCCAAACTTCAACATTCGTACGAATCACTAACTTGTTATTAAAAGCATCTATCGCCAGGGACCAGAACTAATTCAACCTCCTAATAATTTCCGACTGCGTTAAAAAACCTTCTAAGTATGTGCATTTGGGACCATTGCACTGAATCCCATTAAAGTCGGCAAGTGGAGTAGAGCTGCATCCATAAAATCCACGGACGAAATTCCACGAGCTCCTCGACGTCGCCGGGGAGGAAGGCGAGTGGGAGACGCGAGCGAGACTTGAGCGATCGTTTCGGCGATCGGTTCTCGATGACGCAATGGCGCGAATTATAAACGCACCGTTTGTGCCGTCAAGCGTCCTTTCACTCAACTCGTCCCCCGGTTCTCACCATGCGGCGTATCTTTGCGCGATTTCGGTTTTGCGTCGCTTTGATCGGATTGCATCTCTTGAATTTCAGCGCGAGCTGTCGCAGCCACTCGCACAGTGTCGGTTACAATGCCGCCGGCACACAAGACGGCAAGGTTTACATACCCGAGGGTGATTCGAGATTACCGCTCGTCTATCGGCAGCTACCCGTTGCCAGCAGCGGCAATAGCGCGTGGACCGTCAGCAGTTACGGCGCGACGGGATGCACGCATAACGATCGCCCGGCGAACGAGGAAGCCGCGTTTCTGTGCCACACACACCACGGCGAGCAATGCGCCGACTCCAGCACCGGCCTTACCGGTCTGGCCCTCGCCCTGACTGTGCACGCCGTGCTCGAGGGCCTCGCGATAGGACTGCAAACGCAGATTGCAGAGGTACGTGAACCGTGACCTGAATAAGGGATGAATAATGAGGAGATGTAAATTGTCGAGAGCCACCTCCGTGATAACGACGACGACGACGACGACGACGATTCGTAGAGTGGAGGAGCCGCGAGGAGAACTAGCGGCACGTGACGACATTAAACTCGTCGAGTTTCGGTGATTCGCAAGCGTAAGCGCTTTTCATTTCGCCGCGGACAAGAGGGAGGTGCTCGATACACGCACGATACATCTTTCGCCTTGTGATCATCGCCTTTCGATGAAGCGAGACAAAATCGATCAGCGTTGTTACATGGCCGAGCAATTACGCCCCTAAATATTTGCTGTTTTTTCAGGTGCTGCTGTTGACCGGCGCGGTGGCGTCGCACAAGTTTGTCGTCGCCTTTTGCCTGGGATTGGAATTGACGGGCGTCAGCAAGTCTGTTGCTAAGTTAATATTTGCGATTTTTCTGTTCGCCAGCGGATCCGTGCTCGGAATCGGCATTGGTATGCTGACGTTTCAGGTGAGCAGATCAGGGAGGGAGTGCAGTGAATGGGGGAAGAGAAAGAAATTTTGCACGGAGAAAAAGGCATTTAATTTATTATCATTTATTAATCTAAAGTTAATTAAATTAACGTGACAATGAACGGGATGCAACCGCGGGTCGCTTGAAAGAAATAACATTCCTCGTTCTTATTAAATAAAAAGTCGATTCTCGAAGGAACAAAAATTCTCTTTTCTTTAAAAGCACATTTGGTCCGTTCATATCGTCGCATTAATTTAATCGACCTTTTTCCCGTGCAATTAAATTTTTTGCATTTTCGAATGTTGTTTAGCATTTGCTTTGACAAATGTGTCTAATTCCTTATCGTTACTTTCTTGAACGCGTAGGTGGACACGGATTGGTCGAAAATGGTACTGCCGATTTTACAAGGTCTGGCGGGCGGAACATTGTTGTACGTTACTGTGAGCGAGGTTCTACCGAGGGAAAGAGCGAAATGGCACAAGAGCCCGCGCAGATTTGCAGGAATATTGCAGTTTTTGTCGGTAGCCGTCGGATTCGTTCTTATTTTCCTGCTTAACAAGTATCTGGCCGCGTGAGCCGATTGCTGAATCCTTCAAATAATTAGAAGGGTACAACTAGTTTGTCAGGCGGATCGCAATTACGCGAAATCGAATTTCCCTCGTTTTGCGCAACGCTGATTGCGCCTAGCATACGTAAATAAGTCTCGCGATATGTAGCCGAATCAGTGTTACAATATTGAAAAGTTCGCTGACAACAGAGTGTTGAAAATTCTTCCCTGAATTTTCACGAAGATATTGTATAGAACGTTCGTAAAAGATACGATTAATATCGCAAGACATTTTGCTTGATTTGATATCATTTTCAAGACTAGCCGATAACGTAATCTCTTAATTGACTGTTTACGTATTGAAGATACTACATTTTGTTATTAAATTACTATTCGAGTCTCTTCGTTTGCGACGAACAACGACTTCTCGACTTTTCATATTATCACGGAGAAACAACACAGGGTTGGGAAAGTTATTTTGTAAAATTATCTAGTTACAGTTACAGTTTTTTTTTCACTGAAAAAGTAACCAGTTACAGTTCGAAGTAACTAACCTACAAGAATAACATGTTACAGTTATAGTTATTTAGAAAGTAACGAGTCGTTATTTTTCAATTACTTTTTTACAATAATTACTATTATTTTAAATTTCGTAATTATGTAAATTCCTTCAATTTTATAAAAGCAGTTTGTTGATTATTATATTCCTCATATTGTATATAATTTTTACAAGTTAGATTCATTAATTTAAATAAGCAGCTCATATTTATTCTTTAAGACTATTAATAACAATTATAAGAAAGTGAATGAATTTGACAAGGATAATAAATACTAAAAATACTAAAAGTAATCTTAACATTAAAAATTAGATTCTTTTTACTAAAAAATATATTGGTATTTTATAAATAAAGACTTACACTCATATGTTTTCTTAAATTTGCAGTTGAAGTCTACTTGCATGAATAACTTTTTTGCCAGCGCAAATTTTGCAGAAGAATGCTCAGTTGTTCTCGTTTCCAAATGTTTGCCGTAACTCGAATATTTCTGCATATGCTGGCCATGACATTTTATAATCCTCCGAAGATTGAGATGTTTTATCCATTGCTTGAATTTTTTATATAACTGAAATCATGCAGCAATAATTTTTTTGAAAGAAATACAGGTTGCGTTCGGAGAGGAGACTATTGCGATTAGTGCTATTGCATCATTTTATCCTTGTTTTACATCTAATGAACGCGATAGATAATGCAATAACGCCTTTTCCAAATGCAAAAGAATAATTGTACGCTTCTTGGATATCAAGCATCGCACACATCGCGTTATCGCGCTGATCTGTCAAAAATTTAAGTTTGAAATATATATAGTAGTTATTAAAGTAACTATTAAATGAGTTACTAGTTTCCAAAAAAACGTAACCAAGTTATAGATAAAAAACTGGCTACGAATTTTGTTCAATGTTACATTGGAAAAAATAAAAAAAAAAAAAAAAAAAAAAAAAAAAAAAAAAAAAAAAAAAAAAAAAAAAAAAAAAAAAAAAAAATCGTTATCGCCTGATCTGTCAAAAATTTAAGTTTGAAATATATATAGTAGTTATTAAAGTAACTATTAAATGAGTTACTAGTTTCCAAAAAAACGTAACCAAGTTATAGATGGAAAAAACGGCACGAAGTTGAGTTATAGTTACAAAAAAAAAATAACTGCAACTGTAACTTCGTTGCAAGTAACGAGTTATTTCCCAACCCTGGTACACACATATTACGTATAATATAAAGTTTTATAAATAAGAGAGATGACATTGATTAAGAAAATCTACGTTCTATTTTGTAAGACACGCTGCGATCGCTCCTAAGATTGTAATCACATATTCTAAAGAAACGTCGTAGTTGATTTTCTACTACTTTTGATTTTTATCCGGAATGTGCTTATCTCGAGAGTTGAGGGGATAATAACAAACGTCGAATATTTTTCCGTCGTAAGACACGGCGATTCTCGAGAAAGAGCTGGTGTTTCACTGTCGGCTCTTTAAGAATTTACTAGACCGCAAATATTCCTTTTGTGCTGCTCTAGCACGGCAAAAAAGTACGTAAAAAAGCGCCTCTTCATGTTTTCCAGCCGCGATATTCGGCCCGTCGTGAGCGAAGGCGTGTATTCGCGAAACGTTTTCGCGGGAATTAGTACAGGGAGCCACATCCAGGACAACGCGACGAGAGATTAATCTCACTGCGAAGAGAACGTTAATTACACGGAACCTGTTCGGGACAGAGATCGCTCGAGTCGATTCTGCCGAATGGAAAAAAGCTTAGAATAAACCCCTTCACCGTATGTTCGTTCTTCGTGGAGCTCCTCCACGAAGCGTAAACCAGCGGCAATTGTGCGACGGACTGGATCCATTAGCGAATTACTCGGACGTAGGAGAACGCGAGCAGCTTTAAGAGGATACAGTCCTTGCGACTGTATGTAACACAGAAACAGCGAACCGACCACATTACTCGCGCTTATTCCGTTTGTTTTTCTATCTCATCTCATAATCTCGATAAATTCCAGACTGATTTTATTCTACGGCGATTCTGCCTCGTGTGTTCTTTGTTATTAAGATAACGAAAGGAAGCTCCAAGATATAATACGACGCAGATATTTCGAGATAACACGATATTTCGATGAATGTCAAATTGATGTTACTTCACGACAATTCCGTCTTTGCGTCCTTTGTTATTGAGATAACGAAAGGAAGTTTCAATAAGATGTAAAATTTGCAGATAACACGACGTGTTCAAGCTGCTTTCGGCGGAGTTAGGCAGCATTACAGCTCCGTAATCTTCGGCGCGATACCGGGACAATTTAATGATACCCAGTTTACTGTTTGACGAACAGCCGCGACACAGTTTGCCTCATTCTTCCGCCGAGACGAGACGTCGCCGACGGAGAGGAGTCGATATTTGGCGAGATCTCGTTTAGCAGTGCGCTTTTGCCGAAGGTGGATGCTCCCGATGATCGATAGCGCACGAAGATTAGATCGAGATCGCTATTGGCTTCTACACGCCTGGTATCGCGTTTCAGCGTTCTTTGGTACGGAGGCGTGATATAAAAGCTCTCGTTCCTTTATTAGAAAGTTTAAAGTCGACGGAGCGTTAGAGCGGCTTGACGCGACTCGACGCGGCTCGACGCGACGCGACGCCACAGCCGACTGCTCTCGGTCCGCATAAAAACAAGGGAGCTCAGATGAAATTTCATGAAACCCGACGGCGGCGACGGCTCATTTTCACTTCTTTCTCTCCTTCGTGCTTCCTTGGACAGACGTAATTTCGACAAATGGACTTGTTCGTCGGAGAAACAAAAGAACCCGATTGCGACCGCGGCCGCGATGAGGAATAGATAAGAAAGGGACATCCGAGCGCGCTTTTCCTCACAGCTCTCGACCCTATGCCGATTAATCTCTTTTTTAAATGTCAAAGCGATCTCTTCTCCTCTCCTCCCGGCTTACCTCCTGCGACGAACAGTTTATCACCGAATCGCACGCTACATTTCCAACACCAACACCCACGTGACGTAAACCCATCGGACGGAGAGATCGTTTCTCTCCCATCGCTCTTCGTCGAGGCCATCTTAGGAGTATACTTAGTTCTTTCGATATTTACGAGGCTGCGGTATATGGACGCTTCACACTACGTGGTGAAGTTCAGCGCGCATGTTGCTGCGCGCGTGATAGAGACAGAGAGAAGCGACCCGCCATATTTGCGTGTCTCTTCCTCTTCTCGACGCATCGCAACGCCTTCGTCGTCGAAGCGGTTGTCGGACGTCGCCTCCGTATTGTTGTCGCGATTTTTATCCGTCCACGCGAGAATCCGCGCGTGCCGAGTATCGAAGCCCCAGTGAGACCGGTTCGGTGAATTGGTTGTGATTTTTGGATCAAATGAGCGATCTGCGTGAATAACAGTAGCTGGTGAATTGTAGTCTCGGATGGGGAAGTGTCAGGTGATCTCGCGTTGTGTCGCGATAATTAGCATGCAGGATCGCAATTGCTCCTCGTTATCGTAAACTTGTGCATGCCGCATTTGTTATCTGGCAAAATACGGTTCTCTCGCATATATAGCGTAACATTTACTCGTGCCGAGTATGTCATGTAAATCGAGCATCGCTATTGCCACGAACGGACGTAAATAAGCACGCTTTATTTAACTTTCTAATCGTGCTTGCTTTGAGCGCGTTTTAACGAATTTGCGTTATTGCCCCTCGCGAAGTAACTAAATATATGCTTCTTTCTTTTTCTCCCCTCATCATGTCCTTTACAGTGATTGACTTGATTATTGCACAAACAATTTCTGTAGACGAATATCATAAAACCGTAAAATCGAAAATTCTCGAAAACATTTGTATATCGAAGAAATACCGAGGAAATATGGAATATTTCGTTTCTTTGTATGAATGATTGTTTTTGTGACTTTGATACAATATATAACATATTTTCTGTACATATATTATAAAATCATGGGAATGTATCGTTAGAAGGTTAATGTGTGCGTTGTTTGGTAAGATTTTCATATACGTCACGATCCATGTTATTTTGCGAAACTATGCAAAAACATCAAAAAGAGTGGAAAGGGTGATAAAATATAGAAGTTTGTGTAATTAATCTTCGTCGGTAAAAGTCGGTGAAGGTGAGAAAATTCACAGCGGCAAATACAAAAGAAAGATATTTTAACGAAAATGATTCGGTAATATCATTAGTTTAATGTGCTGATATATGCATATATACACATATATATGCATATTATATGTGTATATATCTTTCATACAAAGAATATTTATATATAGAATAATAATATATACACTGTATATATAAAATATAGTAAACATTTGCAGAGTAATGATCTGGACATATTACGTATAAATCGTCAGCGATTTGTTGAAAATCAGTTAATCACCACGTGTTGAAGGGCCAACTATGTAAAATTTTCTCGAAATTGACTTCAAATCTTTGAAAAGTTGATCCGCTTCTAATCTGAGATTAACATTGTTTGGTTTAGCTTAATGTTTCACGTTTTCTTTAACTTACTTTAGTTTACAACACAGCATAACTATATACTACGATGATTTTCACGAAATTTTATAACGTTACGGTACATGTTCATATATTTAAAATTAAAAACAATACAGCGTTCTCTGTAAGAGGATTTTCTTCTTTTGCATCGTTCTCACGAAAAAGCATATTCATGAAAACTCGTGAAAATTAACGATCATTAACCGTGACATTGGAGTTATTGGAATCATGCTGACGTAATTTCGCATGCGCGTAGCTTGCGTAGTGTTGTCAAACAAATGCTTGACGTGCGGTTGTAGCAGTGTGTTTCGCGTATAATAATTACGAGTATTGTTTACGATACACCAGTCGCTGCGGGGAATATAGAGCACATAGAGCGTGTTCATTTCGTGGAGAATCGCTGTTTATCCATTTATATGGCGCGTCGTGACGATTCTGACATTAGTAACGCAATCCCTCACGTCTATTCCGCACATCTTGTTCCCTGCCAGAAATAAAACGCGCGTGAACGCGAATGTGTTTCCCGAGCA